TTCAATATAAGGCCATAATAAATAAATTGTTAGATTCTCATCCGAATTTTTTTAAAAATCGAGGCGGGCGGGCGGCTTTTATTTTATATTTTTTATTTTTTCAATTTTGCAGATTTTTTATTGACCTGGTCAATCGGTGTAATTATCTACAATACCCAAATAAAAGTCATAGTAAAGGTTCAGTTATCTCTTACTTCACATCATCTCCAATATTTTTCAACCGATGACCCTTGTTTAAAATATATACACATGTATTACAGCAATTACCATCTTTTCAGCTGTCAAAATCATGTCAACATTCGCGGGATTTAAAACGAAAGTAGAATGGTAGATGAATACCGATCCCGATCAGAATTAAAACGAAGAAAAACAGAAATAAAAAAAATCGAGGCGGGGGTATAAAATCGGGGTGGGGGGGGGATGAGAATCTAGGAATATTTTTATTATGGCTTAACTTAAGGAAAAAGTAGGTCACTGTGACCTACTTTTTGAATTTTGCAGGCATTTGTTTTCAAATTGTTTAAAAGGCATATTTTGATTACCTTCAGACCTACAATCATCAAACTTGGTCAGTAGATGCATCTTTGGACTTTGAAAAATGTCAACCAAAATGTAGGTCACGATGACCTACTTTCAACATTTAATGGCCTTATTTAAGTATCTTAGGTATTTATTGGCTTAGAATCATCAAATTTTTTGAGTCGATGCATCTTGAGTTTTTGGAGAGTGACAACCAAAAAGTAGGTCACAGTGACCTACTTTTGACATTTTATGGCTTTATTTAAGTATCTCCAGTCCTTATTGCCTTAGAATCATCAAACTTTGTCAGTTGATGCTTCTTGGGTTTTCAGAAAGTGACGACCAAAAAGTAGGTCATGGTGACCTACTTTTGCGGTTTTGTGGCTATATTTAAGTATCTCAGGCACTTGTTGGCTTAAAATAATCAAACTTTGTCAGAAGTCACGTGACGCAGGACAAGGTAGACTTGTTGTACCGAGCTCCTGAGTCTTCCGACAATTTTCACATATCTACTGAGTTTGGATTATTCATTTTCATTGGATATGTGTCAGGAATCCTTCCTGATTATGTACATACGTTTATTTTTTCTGGATGTTTAATTTTGGACTTTTGATGGACTTTTGATTTGATTGTTTACAATCTGTGAACTCGGGTGAATACCTACTCACCAGCACTACCTGTATTATATGTTAGGTACCTGTACGACTACGAGTACCGTCATGGCTGAGCAGCTCTCAGAACCAACGATTAAACCGTTATATCTAAAGGATTCAGATATTCAATGCAAAGACAAAGATCAGATCACAGACTTTGATCTTATGGAAAGTGTTATGGCCAAAGTGGACAATTCCCTACATTGCTTACAGCTTGATAGAAACCTGTGGCGTTTTTATCTTAAAGACAAAGAAAGCAGGGACAAGCTTCTTTCAGAGGGATGCGAGATCAACAACATATCCCTGTCCTTTTTCGAAACAAACCCGTATTCCTCCGGAAACCATAACCCGAATGAAAAAACTTTGAAAATCAGAATATGTGGGTTACTGCTTTCGGTATCTGACACCTCTGTGATGGAGCTTATAGAAAAACTAAAATTAGATCTAAAAAGCAAGATTCTTTATGAAAAAATCCGACACCCAGTCACAAAGAGAATGACGAGTGTATTGAATGGGAACCGCTTCGTTTACGTAGCACCCCTCCCTCCGGGAACATCTCTTGCTAGAGTACATTACTGTGCAGGGCTAAGATGCCTCATCTTTCACTATGGGCAACCTAAACATAAAAGGAAACTTGTGTGCACCAACTGCTGGGACACGGATCACACCAGGGGCAACTGTAAAAACGAACCTAAATGCAAGGTGTGTTTGGAGCCAGATCATTCACCTGGAGAAGCTACGTGCAGATTCTACGAGCCTCAGCAAAATGTGATCGCATTCAATGGAGAAGATAATGTGCTATCAAATTTCTTCCCCTGCGAAATCAACCTCTACGGGTTTCGTCACAAATCGGCAGAGCATGCCTACCAATATGCTAAGACAACGTGGTGTGGCGACCTCGATGCAGCCAAAAACATCTTAGAAGCGGATGATGCTCTTTCTGCCAAACGACTCGGTGACAAGGTCAGGATCAACGATCAGTGGTCTTCTACAAGTGAAGCCGTCATGGCGGAAGTGATCAATAACAAGTGCGCTCAAGTTCAGCACTTCCGAGAAAAATTACGATCGGTCAAAAGAAATGTGATTCTACATACAATAACACCTGGGGGACCGGGCTCAACAAGACAGGAACAGAAAATACCAAGCAGCAAGCGTGGCCGGGTAAAAACCTCTTGGGGCAAATACTCAGCAAACTCGCAAAAAAAATCCGTAAGCGCAAAAAAAGCGATCAATGGAGCAGTCCTAATCAGAAGCAAAACTCAAAACAGAGCAGCAAACAGCGCGACATATCAGTGATGATCAGTGAAATGCGCGCCCGTCAGCAGGAATCCGATTCTGTATCCCCAAGTGATCTCTCATCAGAGACGGACAAAGATAACGAGGAAACATAATGCTCCAATAGACTGCTCCTTTTGAATTCAAACTCATGATTATGATATTAAAATATTGAGTCCCCCTGCTTATTTAATTTTACAGGGAGGGGGGTTCAAAATATTATGGCCATAAAATATCGAGTCCCCCTGTCCATTTTAATTTTAGAGGGAGGGGGGTTCAAAATATTATGGCCATAAGATATTGAGTCCCCCTTTCCTTCTTATGTTACAGGGAGGGGGGTTCAAAATATTATGGCCATAAAATATTGAACCCCCCTGTCCTTTTTAAATTTAGAGGGTGGGGGGTTCAAAATATTATGGCCATAAAATATTGAACCCCCCTGCCATTTTGATTTAAAAGGGAGGGGGATTCGAGTCCCCTTCCCATTTAAATTTACAGGGAGGGGGGTTCAAAATATTATGGCCATAAAATATCGAGTCCCCCTGTCCATTTAATTTATGAGGGAGGGGGTTCAAAATATTATGGCAATAAAAAATTGAGTCCCCCTGTCCTTTTAATTGATGAGGGAGGGGGTTCAAAATATTATGGCCATAAAATATTGAACCCCCCTGTCCTTTTTAATTTTAGAGGGAGGGGGGTTCAAAATATTATGGCCATAGAATATCGAGTCCCCCTGCCCTTTTGATTTAAGAGGGAGGGGGGTTCAAAATATTATGGCCAAAAAATATTGAACCCCCCTGCCCTTTTGATTTAAGAGGGAGGGGGGTTCAAAATATTATGGCCATAAAATATCGAATCCCCTGCCCTTTTGATTTATGAGGGAGGTGGTTCAAAATATTATGGCCATAAAAAATTGAGTCCCCCTGCCCTTTTAATTGATGAGGGAGGGGTTCAAAATATTATGGCCATAAAATATTGAACCCCCCTGTCCTTTTTAATTTTAGATGGAAGGGGGTTCAAAATATTATGGCCATAAAATATCGAACCCCCCTGCCCTTTTGATTTAAGAGGGAGGGGGGTTCAAAATATTATGGCCATAAAATATTGAGTCCCCCTGCCCTTTTGATTTAAGAGGGAGGGGGGTTCAATATATTATGGCCATAAAATATTGACCCCCCCTGCCCTTTTGATTTAAGAGGGAGGGGGGTTCAAAATATTATGGCCATAAAATATCAAATCCCCTGCCCTTTTGATTTAAGAGGGAGGGGGTTCAAAATATTATGGCCATAAAAAATTGAGTCCCCCTGCCCTTTTAATTGATGAGGGAGCGGGTTCAAAATATTATGGCCATAAAATATGGAGTCCCCCTGCCCTTTTAATTCAAGAGGAAGAGGGGTTCAAAATATTATGGCCATAAAATATTGAGTCCCCCTGTCCTTTTTAATTTTAGAGGGAGGGGGGTTCAAAATATTATGGCCATAAAATATTGAACCCCCCTACCCTTTTGATTTAAGAGGGAGGGGGGTTCAAAATATTATGGCCATAAAATATTGAGTCCCCCTGCCCTTTTGATTTATGAGGGAGGGGGTTCAAAATATTATGGCCATAAAAAATTGAGTCCCCCTGCCCTTTTGATTTAAGAGGGAGGGGGGTTCAAAATATTATGGCCATGAAATATCGAGTCCCCCTGTCCTTTTGATTTAAGAGGGAGGGGGTTCAATATATTATGGCCATAAAATGTCGAGTCCCCCTACCCTTTTAATTTTACAGGGAAGGGGGTTCAAAATATTATGGCCATAAAATATTGAACCCCCCTGTCCTTTTAATTTATGAGGGAGGGGGGTTCAAAATAATATAGAGTATGATAATTTTACATCATAATGATTGCTTCATATTGGATTTCTGTTACATTTTTGAGTGGTGGGATTTTAAATATCATGTCTGTAAAAAAAATATTGACCATGCCTCTTACATTTTTTTTTTCATTTGTGTAAAATATCATTGCTGTAAAATATTGACCAACCCTCTTACATTTAATTTTTTCAATATTAAGGTAGGTGGTTCAAGATTGATGTACCTCAGTGAATTAAAAGAGTGGTTCAAAATAATATTGCTGGTAAATATTGCACCACAATTAGAATTCCAGGGGTTTTCATTTCTGTTTAATGTTGCTCTCTCCCTTCATAAAACACCAAATATTCCAGTTACATGTACACTCTTTGGGTAAACTTTTGAATCTCACAATATTTCAATAGTCTGATAAATAGTGGATATGTGTGGCTGATAACTGTTCAGCTTTTTGTTTCTTTCAATTTAACCATTCTTAAACATAACATGAATAAGAGAACACAAAGTCTGTTTCATTATAATAAATCAATTTATAGCATCTCATTTAGATAAGTCATAACAAAAACTGGTAACATTTAAGAAATAAATAGAAACACTTAAATAGAAATACAAACATTAAAAAATAATCTTTTCTCTTATTCATTCTGCTTAAGCACAAGTTAGTCAGTGTTCTAAGCACAATAAATTCAAGACTCTAATCTTTTCTTTAAATTCATTCTCCTGAAGCTCAATTTGGAATGTTCTAAGCACAATAGATACAGGACCCCAATCTGTTCTTGAAAGTCATTCTGCTCAAGCCCAAGTTGGAATGTTCTAACCACAATAGATACACAATCTTTTCTTTAAAGTCATTCTGCTACAGCTCAAGTTGGAATGTTCTAAGCACAATAGATACAGGTTTCCACACTGTCTTTCTCCTTGATGCCAAGGCAGGCATGGTGGCACCATCTCAAGCAGGAACTACACTGAATCTGTTTCCTGTAGCTAGCTGCGCAGAAGGGAAGGTCGCACGCAAGGCTCCTTTTGTCTGCTTTCCCATTAGTGAGCAGCTCCCCACGCACATAAGCTCTGTAGGCCTTGATGTGACACAGCCGCATGACTTGGGGGGAGATGTGTGATAAAATGGCTGCTGAATTCTACAAATTATTAAAAATAAAATGTATCAGACACCTTGCTGAGTAATGTAGGCCTCCTAATACTATTTGCTTAAGTAACTAATTTAAAAAAAAAAAAATATTCGCTTATTGTCATTACTTTACATTCTTTTGACATTATTATATACATGTACATTTTATTATTTTTGTTACCTGCAGTAGAAAGATAAATGACAAATCTCTTGATTTCTTACCATTAGCACAAAAACTCCACAGGAATGTCCATCTTTCTGAACTGAGGACTTAATGGGGCTAAGGGTCCAGGATAAGGGAGTTGATGGCTCTGCTTGAAATCGGGTTTCCATAAAGCATCTTTAAAAAAAAAGAAGAAATCTTTTAAAATTTTAAAATATAATAGTGAGATGGAATACATGAATAATTTAAATATGTAACCTCTGATTTTTCATTCATTGAGAGAGAAAGAATTTGCGAAATGTATATAAAAAGTATTTACCTCCAGTGTCTGGCAAATTGTTTTTCTCTTTGTCTGTTGGGCAGAGAATCCAAAATGAGCAGAGTTTCCAATTTTGGGTAGCCAACCATTAGAAACCAGTGGTCATGATGGCATACAGGCAGCAAAATGATGTCATACGAGTGAAGTGGAACCTATTTGAAATAAAAAATGGGTGTAATTAATTAAGGCTTCTTCAGAAAGTATTTACAAAGTAGCTGTCAGAGTTTAAGATGCACGGAAGGGCTAGATATTAATCATTTAAATAATTTCATGCATTTTAATTTTTAAGTTTAAGACTAAAAATATTGCACTTTTTTTTTTAATAACTCGATGATGTCAAATATTTAAACCCTTCTTTGGGTTTAACTTTCATTTTTACTGCAGTCAGAAGTGCAACAATTACTTGTAACAAAGATCTTATTTTTTCACTAAAATATAAATTGCAACTATTTGATGTAAATTATTTAAACTACACCTTACTAGTACTGCTTTCCAAGCTGAGAATAGATTATTGCATTTTATAATTAATTTTTACACCAATGATAAATATTTTTAAAACACATCAGTGGTCAGGAATGCCCAACACAATAATTTCAATAATTTAAAATGAGATAGATTCAAAATTTAGTATTTATACCCCCGCTCCGAAGGAGAAGGGGATATACTGTTTTACCCTTGTGTGTCTGTCTGTCTGTCTGTCTGTCTGTCTGTCCGTCCGTAACAAATTTTCGTCGCAGTTTTCTCAGCAACTACTCATCGCAGAAGCTTGAAATTTTAACACAATCTTCTCTGAGGCATGCCATATGTTGGGATACATTTTTGTTTAAATCTGATGTCAACTTCCTGTTTGTCTGTGCGTCTGTCCGTTTCATACATAACAAATTTTGGTCGCAGTTTTCTCAGCAACTACTCATCGCAGAAGCTTGAAATTTTAATACAATTTTCCCTGAGTCATGCCATACGTTGGGATAAATTTTTGTTCAAATCTGATGTCAACTTCCTGTTTGTCTGTGCATCTGTTTGTTTCATACATAACAAATTTTCGTTGCAGTTTTCTCAGCAACTACTCATCACAGATGCTTGAAATTTAATACAATTTTCTCTGAGTCATGCCATATGTTGGGATACATTTTTGTTCAAATAGGATGTCAACTTCCTGTTTGTCTGTCTGTCTGTTCGTTTCATACACAACAAATTTTCGTGGCAATTTTCTCAACAACTTCTCATCGCAGAAGCTTGAAATTTTAATACAATCTTCTCTGAGTCATGCCATACGTTGGGATACATTTTTGTTCAAATCAAACAACTTCCTGTTTGTCTGTGTGTCTGTCCATTTCATACATAACAAATTTTCGTCTCAGTTTTCTCAGCAACTACTCATCACAGATGCTTGAAATTTTAGTACACTCTTTGTTGAGACATGTTATATAGTGGGATTCATTTAGATGTTAATCTGATGTCAACTTCATATTTCTCTGTGCATTTGCCTGTAATTGAGCTTCTATATATATTAACATGGTAGTGTTTATTCACATCAGAGCGGGGGTATTACTAGTGAGCATTGGCTCACAGATTTCTTGTTTTATTTAAATAAGAAAAATTGTATGTCATAAAAGTTTCATGGTTTTATCTTAAAACTCAGAATTGGAAAAAATAATGTTATTAAAAAACATCAATCAAAAACCTTTTTTTTAAAATTAATTTTTTAAAAATATATATACAAGAGAAGAAACTAATTAATAAAAGTTAAGAATTTATAATTTCTATTGCTGTTCAATTACAATTTCGGAGCATAAAAATTACATTTCTTTAGATTGGAAGTTTTAGAAAATCTTTAAGGACTTATAGCTTTTGTTATTTTCTTTTTTTTTTCAGAAAAAGTTGCATTAATTATAATTTAAAAACTCTGAAACTTTTTTATTTAATGGTCATATTGCCACTACAAAAATTTTAACTGGAATACATGTACTATATGATGATATAGAATTAGTGAAAAATATGTTATGGGTAGTTGAAAAGAACTTTATTCGGTAATAACCAATATTTGCCCCCCAAATCAAACTTTGATGGAGGTATATTTAATTAAGTTCTTAAACAGTGGAGTATATGCTGACTTCAAAGCACTGAATATTTTCATAAGTAATGACGTCATATGTATGTAATGACGTCACAAACATGACGTAAATTTCAGTTTTTAATGAATTCTACAGAAAAATGTACATATTTCGTCGATATTTTGAGTAAAAGTCACCGAGCGCATGTGTGTTCAGGATCAATATTTTAATATAATGTGTAGAATGATAATATCAATGAAATATGTATATATTAATCCTGAACAAACATGTGCTCTATAAATTTAAAAGCTAAAATTGTTGAAATTTTGTCCATTTTGTCCTCTTTCTGAAAAAATTTCTAAAATTGGACTAGTTTGTGACGTCATAAAAACAAAAATTGTGAATAAACTGCTTTGAAACTATAATATGTTCTGTTAATTTATATTTCTCATACAATTTATTGAATTCAGCACATTTCATGAAGTTTTCAAAATGTAACATTTGTGGGGGCAAGTATATGCAATATACCGCATATAGTTCTTTCAAAAAAAAAAAAAAAAATTTAATAGTCAATATTTTTTTAATTCACCCACATACAATAAATTGCTAAAACAAAGATAATAGAATTCCTATTTCTAAATACATACCTGTGTGTTGACTGGCCATTCTCGTCTGTCAGGTGGACTGCCGAGGAAGTTCACCAGCTCTGTATACTCGGAGACCTCCATCTCTTCTTGAGGATGACGTTGTAATGATTATTATTGCTTTAATTAACTCTATTTAAACACCTGAATGTTGTATGTATTGTTAACCACCCCTCAATCTGGGCTACCCTATCAGTGCACTCTCAAAACACTGTATTGCATAATATAGAAACCACAAAGGGGAAGCAACAAGACAGTGGGGATTGTTGACCTCCTATGTTGACCTCCTATGACACCTCCCTGTGTACACACAATACACAGGTGCTATACCCCCGTCACCTCAATGGAGAGATACCTTTCTTATTCAATAGCATTGTTCCTTAAAATTTCCTTTATCAAATTGTTAATTACATGTATATATAGAAGGTATGGTCACCATGCACATGCATACACGTGCGTGTACGTGCGCTGCAATCTGATTGGCTGAAACTTTAAACAGCTATAACTTCCTTGTTTTTCAACCAAACAGGATGGGATTTGGAGCATAGATAGATATAATGGACTTCTACAAGAAAGTATGGTCACCATGCACATGCATACATGTGCGTGTACATGCGCTGCAATCTGATTGGCTGAAACTTTGAACAGCTATAACTCCCTTGGTTTTTAACCAAACAGGGTGGGATTTAGAACATAGATAGATGTAATGGACTTCTACAAGCTGCGTGCACGTGAAATGAGTAAAATCAAAAATACACTTGAATAAGCGTATTTCTTAATACTTTTGGATTAAATACTTTGATATTTAGTATATTAAAATCTATAGATTGTGAAGACAAGATTATATCGTCATTACGCACGTGCATTCACATGCGCACGCGTGCAATGCTAAAATTTGAATGAAATTGGTACACTTCTGGGTAAACATTGTTAATTAAAGTATCAAATGCAACGAGTTTGTCTTATTTAATGAAGCTTATAGGGAATATGGCACCAAAAGGGAGTTGGGGAGCGTTTGGGGAACATCTGTAATGGTCCCCGTTACAATTAGCACTAGTTCTTTATTACTTTTGAGTGAGGGTCAAGGTCAAAGGTCAAGGTCATTTTAACAAAACCCATATATAAGCAATTTTAATACTTTCCCAATGACCTTGACCTTTGACCTTGACCTTATCTTCAAGGTCAAAGGTAGAAAGATCTCATGCATTGTCCCCATGTCTTTACAACTTGTCGTTAAAAAGTTTTTAGTTCTTCATAAACATCAGAAACTGTAAGGAGCAATAACTACTAAGAATGGTTGACGAATCCTTTCGCAATGAATAGATTCAAGAGTCTTCTAAATTAGTCGTAGACTTTGTTGAAGGTTTCAAACGTCTGCAGTTTACGGCTTCGGAGGAGTAGCGATAACAAGGGTTTACACTGAAAGGGGCATTAACTTTTAGAGGGGTCAATCTTAGGGGAGAAGCATGAAATCTCTGAAATGGTTTTAAGAGTACATATTAAAGATGCAAAGGTGTTTAAAATTTGTTGAAGAACGAAGGAGCTACAAAAAAGGCTTAATTTTTTCATTTTTTTAATGACCTTGACCTTTGATTTGACCTACTTTTCAAGGTCAAAGGTCATAAGATCTCATGCAGTTGGTCCCATATCTTTACCACTTGTCGTTTAAAATTTTAAAAAAATTTTTGTAAGCTTTAAAACTTTCAGGGGCAATAACTAAAGGGGTTTAGGAATTCTTTCGCACTTCCCAGTTCGGAGAACCGACTAAATTAGTCGAAGACATTGGTTAACCATGCGTACCTCTACAGTTTACGGTTTCAGAGGAGTAGCGATAACAAGCATTTCTTGTGAAAGGGGCAATAACTTCGAAAGGGGTCATAGTTCATATGCGTTGGGTCAAATCTGTTCCTAACTTTTAATGACCTTTACGATGAACAAAAAGTCTCTTCGATAAATGTCGAAACAAAAAATCAGCGGAAGAAAAATAATAGGAACTAGGAGACTTATTGTTCACAGAACAATAAGAGGTCTTTCCACCTTCTTTGAATTTCAAATTTTTATACTTTTGACTCCTTAAAATTAATTTCCATGAAAAAGAAACCAGAATTGTCTTAAAGCATAGAAAAAATGAAATTTGAAAAAAATTGAAATGACCTTGACCTTTGACCTTGAAAAATATTCAAGGTCAAAGGTCAAGGGCCATAATGCAATTGACCCCATGCTTCTATGACTTATAGTTTTCAAGTTATAATGTCTAATAGTAAGTACAAAGATGTTAAAGGGCAATAACTCACATAAGGGTCATCAGATCCTTTTGCACTTATACAGTGAAGTTAAGCCTAAAGACCCTTAAGACATTAGTGAAGGTTTGATGTCTCTACGGTCTACAGTTTCGGAGGAGTAGTGATAACAAGGTTTTTCACACAAGGGGATATAACTTT